GAAAAAATGCACAAAAGACACGTAATGAATATTTTTAATAAGGTGCAATTCATGGAATATCCGTTAGGGGGACACACTGTTTTAAGCAGAGGAAAAGTCAACATTTTTTTGATCAGAGAAGAAGACAACAGCAGCTTCAGTCTGTCACCGAGACAGACCCAACACAGCAGACGCTATGAAGAACATGTGAATACTTTATTCTTTCCACATATTATAGCACTCTCCTTAGTTTGTAAGGTGTAGGCAGGGATTACATTTAGATTTTATATGCTCGTGCCAATGGTTTAAAAATTCCTTTCTTTATAAATCTCATTTAATCTTAAAAGTGCATTCCTATATTTTTCAAGACCAATTACTTGTTAAGGTTTTGTGCCTTTGTACAGTCAGTGGGATCAGTTGCAATGCATATACAGTCAAACCTCGGTTTTCATCCATAATCCGTTCCAGAAGGCTGGTCGAAAACCGAATTGTTCGAAAACCGAAACCACGCTCTTTTTAAAATGTTTATTGAACACGTCTGCTCACAATGGAAAGCAACACGAGGAAGCGTCATTTCCTCGTCTACCCGAGGAAGCGTCACTTACCTCGTGTAAGGAGGTAAGTGACGCTGATATCTGCTGATCTCAGGATGGCATTCTGAAGGCAGGCAGTAGGAGATACTGGCGTGGTCGATGGGTTATGGGTGAGGTTGGAGTGACCTGCTCACCGCCCGAGCACAGACCTGCAGGCAACACTTTTTGCTCTTCACCCCGTTATTCGCAAGGCGCTGAAGTCAAACTTTGGGCCAGCCTGAAAAGTAGGAGACATTTACACTCGTTCAATGCACCATCATGACTACTTTTTTTACTTTTTTTTTTCTCCCCCAGGCAGCAGTAAACATGATCTGCTTCAACCCAACAGTTTATCTCCTTGGTAAGTTTTATGACCAACACATCTTTGTCTGCACAAGAAATTGACTTGGGTGTAACTCACGGATCCCTTTCCCCTCAGGTCAACACACCTGTCCCACGTTCTTCTCAAGAGCTGACCACTTCGCCGCCCAGCAACAAGCAGACTGCCATCCAACTTGCAACTTTTTCCTCTGCTTTTGTGATTGTCTACTCTGCAAAAGAAATAAAGCTTGATTACAAAGAACACTTCAACTCAACTTCATTTTGAAACACATCACCACAATCTAACTTGAAAAAAAATATATTTTTTAAAAAACAATTATTTTCAGTTTTTTTTCTGAACTTTTTTTCTGAATTTTTTTCCCCAAATTTTTTTTCCTGGATTTTTTTTTCCAGGCAGAAAAATCCAGGAAAGTGGGTGTGGCCTGGCTGGGATGATGGCTGATGCTT